TATATATGTATATATATATATATAAATACCCATCAAGTTTTATCTATAGAAGGAAGTTTCTTTTTTCCTCTACACATTCATCCACATGACTCAAGAGTATTTTTCTTTTTTCATGGATTTGCTTTGGCAAATTAGGAAGGTGGGTGATTAAATATGTATGATTTCCAGATCTTCTTTTCTGTCCCCATACTCATTCTTATCCCAATAGTTTGCTGTCTTGATGGTGAGTTTTATTGAAGGTCTGAATAACAGATGATCTGAATCTCCAAACATACTTCATTTTAGCATCGTCTTAGTTAGGCACTTCTAAGGAAGCTCTAAAAAATAACTTGCCAATTTTACTAAAAATGACATTGGATGCTTTGATTATAATTCCGTTGAATTGAAGGTAGACTGACATGAGTCTTTAAAAGTTAATCTTCTAAGTCAGGCGGTGGTACGCACACATTTAATCCCAGCTCTTGGGAGGCAGAGGCAGGTGGGTCTCTGTGAGTCGGAGGCCAGCCTGGTCTACAAATCGAGTTCCAGGATAGCCAGAGCTACACAGGGACACCCTGTCTCAAAAAAACCAAAGGGGGAGAAATCAATCTTCCAATTCATAAACATTGTATCTCTTTCTATCTAATTCTCTTGAAATTTATCTCAGCAAGCCTAGTCTTCTTGGAGGTTTGGGTGAATTTTTTTCATGAATATTTTATTCATGATGTGAATATTCTGATGTGTAAATTCAATTGATAACAGATTTTGTCTGATTCAGTATACACAGATGACGAGTGGTTTGAGATTGGCAGGCCTGCTGACTTGCAATTGTGTAGAATTCACAGTGCTTTCGTGGGAAAAGCATTTCAGCTGTGAATAATGTCCTTTCTCACCAAAGTGCTAACTGAGCCACATCAGCTTTCTTATGCTAATCTCTGCATATACTTTCTACTCTTTTACTCTCAGTTAATTGTGGGCTTATGTTTAAGAATGTTCTTGCATAGACAGCGTGTAGTTGAGCCCTGCTGTCTGTTATAGTCTGAGAGTTTTCATTTTAGAAACTTTTGTTCATTTCTGTCTAATCACTGATAATGATTGTCTGACCTCACATCTGCCCTCTTGCTCTTTCCTAGTTGCCTCATTTGTATTCTTATTTTATTCTTCATTTTAGCTACTCAAAATACATATTTAACATGTATTGGAATATTCCACTTATCTTATTACCTTTTAATGTATGCTCCCTGCAGTATTTCATTATTTGATCCCTTTCCTGGGGTAGTCACCATGAATTCTTAACTTTCCATGCTCTATTTAGCTAATATTGTACCATTTCAGAAATAGTGGAATAACTTAAAAAGCTAAAGGTCCATTAACATCAACCTTCTTTCTACAGTTTGTTATGTGTATTACATTTATTTAAGTGGTAAGATCTACCATATAGATCTTATATGGTGGCACATGCCTTTAATCCCAGCACTTGGGAGGCAGAGGCAGGCGGATCTCTGTGAGTTCGAGACCAGCCTAATCTACAGGAGCTAGTTCCAGGACAGCTTCCAAAACCACAGAGAAACTCAATCTCGAACCCCCACCCCCCAAAAAAATCTGCCATGTAGGGAGTAGCAAGATAGTTCGGTGATTAAGAATGCATACTACTCTTCTAGAAGATCTGAGTTCAGTTCCCAGCACCCATATTATGCATCTCACAATCACCTGTGACTCTAGAGATCTGGCACCCTCTTCTGGTCTTGAGGGGTATTGCACTCATGACCATTCCCACACCTCCAACACACATAATTAAAATAAATAAAAGGCCTACCATACAATGTTATTTTTATTTTAAAATAGTTCTCTTAAGGAAAAATATAGCATTTCACATGCATATACACTCACTCATGTCCTTTATTATTCCCAGTAGATTTCTATTTCTGATTAGTATAATTTCTCTGATGCTTGAAATTTTGTCCTTAACATTTTCCCCATATTGATATGCAAAGCAAGGGACTCTGTAAACTTGCTTTTACCTGAAAATGTGTTAATCCCACCTTCATTTTTGAAGGGTGTCATGTCTAATCAGAATTCTGAGCTGACAGTCTGTCTGTTTGAAGGCTGACTTTGTTATACCATTATTTCTGACTCCCTTTGTTTCTGTGGCAAAGTCGGTCTCATCCATCACTTTTCCCACCTATAAGTGTGACCTTTTCCTTTGGCTGCTTTAAGACATGGTTTTTGGTGGCTTCGCAATGGATGCATGCTGATTGGCATTTCTTTATTCTGCCTGGGGTAGGGAACATCTTGGATCTATAAGTAAAGGCCAGTCTTCAGATTTCAGAAATGGGCTGGCAATATGACTCCATGTGTAAAGGTGCTTACAATCAAGCTGCCATCAATCCCATGTTTCATGCTACCCAACAGTTCCACCATTGGGGAACAAGCATTCAAATATATGAACCTATGGGGGCCATTCTCATTCAAACCACGAGGGAGAGAGAGACAGACAAGAGAGAGAGAGAGAGAGAGAGAGAGAGAGAGAGAGAGAGAGAGAGAGAGAGAGAGAGAGGCGAGGGGGGGGGGGGGAGGAAGGGTGGGAAGAGTGAAGGGGGAGAGAGAGAGGGATAAGGAGACCAGGAAGGGGTGAGGATGATAGAGAAAACATACTTCATTGCCTTCTACTTCCTGTCCCAGCCTCATCCCTGGCTGACTGTTGGGTGCCCATAGTTAATCTTCTCTGGTAATATACTTACAGAAATGCCCAGAACTATGCTTTGAATTCTCTAGGCATCCATTAGAGCATTCAAACTGAAACTTCAAATCAACCATCATGATAAACAACCATCCACAGCAGGTGCTGGGATCAGCCTCTGTGTGCTCCCCCAGATGGGAGGGGCTCCCTCCTATAACTGTCTCCTGCTTTCCCCACATTTCCTCTCCATACTGTTACCCCATCCCTTACGCTGTCTGTGGCATTTTCCGAGTCACCAAATCTCTTCAAGCATTCCACTTGTTGCAGTGGAATGGTTTCATGGTTAGACCAAGGCTACTTTTCCTCCTCAAGAGTTGGGCATTGAGAGTTAGCTGTGGTGTCGTGCACCTGAGGTTCCAGCACCTCAGGTTCCAGCACGTGGGGGTGAAAGCAGGATGATAGGAGTTCAAGGTTATCCTCAGCTACATAATGAACTTGAGGCCAGTTTGGGCTGCACGAGAAGACCCTGTCTCAGAAAAATCCCACGTGGAAGCATTGCTTCTGGTGTTCATGCTAGGACACCAGGTCGACCCCTGAAGCTTTGACTTGCTTTGACCCACCCTCCCTTCTGTGTTTGCTAGGCATGCAGTATCTTCAGAAAGAACTCTACTTACTTTAGTGTGTTCCTTCTAGAGTATGTGTTTTATACTGTAGAAGATCTTGAGTGAACACTGCTATAACATCTCTGACACAAATATTTATCTTTTTAGATTTATTAGCATATACTAAACACACATAATGGGTTTTATTATGACATTTCCACACATGCATATAATGTATTTGATCTTATTTACATACACACCCACCATCCTCTCTGGCCCCACTCCTGCTGATCCCATGCCTCTTCCCAATTAGTTGCTCTTCTATGGTCTTTGTTTGTGGTGAACCAGTGATTTTAATTAGAGCTACTTATAGGAAAATGGGTACTGATGGGGGATATCCTTCTGTGTTCTGTGAATGTATGTTTCTCTTATTGGTTGATGAATAAAGCTGTTTCAGCCAATGGACAGGCAGGATTTAGCCAGGAGGAAATCCAAACAGGAATAGTGAAGAAAGGTAGTAGGCAGGAGTTGGAGAGATGCCATGGGAGTAAGAGGTCCATGAATCACTGGTAAGCCAAGACCATGGAGATACATAGATTAATAGAAATGGGTTAATAATTAAGAGAGAATTAGCCAATAAGAAGCCTGAGCCATTGTCCAAACATTTTTTAATTAACATAAGCCTCTGTGTGTTTATTTGGGACTAAACAGCTTCGGGACCAAGTGGGATAGAAACTTCCACCCACAGGGTTCCAGGTATTATTTTTAGGAATATAAGCAATGTGCCATCACTGAGGAAAATGTCTCTCCCTCTATCAGAAATCAATTGCCTATATGTCTTCAGTGGCAGGCCTCATGCTATCCTCCTACCCAGCAACTATTAACTGCCTATAAATCAACAGGAAGGGATGGAACCCCATAAGCCCCTCCCCTTTTTATGATGAAATGTTGACAGGTACAGTCTTGTCCAGGTAATGACGCTTCTTGTAGTTCAAGAGTGCACACACAAGTCATACCCTGGAAACAATGTTTTAACCACCCCACCCTTTCTCTGTGTCTCATGATGACACCATGACCAAAAGCAACTTGGGAGGAAAGGGTTTATTTGGATTACACTTACACTTCATCACTGAAGGAAGTCAGAGCAGGAACTCAAACAGGCCAGGATCCTAGAGGCAGGAGCTGATGCAGAAGCCATGGAGGAGTGCTGCTTACTGGCTTGCTCAGCCTGCTTACTTGTAGCACTCAGGACCACCAGGCCAGGTGGTCAGCCCTATCCACAATGGACTGGGACCTCCCTTATCAATCACTAATTTTAAAAAATGCCCTTTATGCAGGTGTTTTCTCAGTCATCCTCTCAGATGACCTCTATCCTGTGTCAAGTTGACACAAAAGCCAGCCAGGACGCTGGGTGTTGGTGGCACATGCCTTTAATCCCAGCATTCAAGAGGCAGAGGCAGACGGGGGATCTCTGTGAATTCGAGGCCAGCCTGGTCTCCAGAGCGAGTGCCAGAATAGGCTCCAAAGCTACACAGAGAAACCCTGTCTCGAAAAACCAAAACCAAAACCAAAAAAAAAAAAAAAAAAAACCAGCCAGGACGGGAACCACAGTGTGAGTCTTAGTCCCTTTCCGAAAAAGTGGAGTACAAACGAGTCCTTTAAATAGAAGGAAGAAATGTGGGAGCAAGCCACTGTGTCTCACTGGGGCCCCTACATTAACATTCTTCTTGTCTTTGCAGAGATGTGTGTGCAAAACCCACCAGAGGTCGCCTATGCCACATTCAAAGCCCCCGCCTACAAGAGTGGCACCATCCTAAACTGTGAATGCAAGAGAGGTTTCCGAAGAATAAAGGAGTTGGTCTATATGGTTTGTTTAGAAAACTCCTGGAGCGAAAGCTGTCAGTGCACAAGCAACTGTAAGTGTCCCTTTTGAAACCTCAGTGAGAAAGGAACTGGGGATAACAGGAGACAGAGTCAGGTTTCCATTAACTCAGACCAACAGATAAAATAATGGAAGACAAATCTGTGGGGCAATCCATTTTAGAGGCTTCTAGGAAATGCACTCATTTAGCCTTATTCAAGGAGTATGTACTCATTCTAAGAACTAAGCTTACTAATCCTGAGTCAATCTGATAGATACCATGACTTTGTTGTTGGTCTCTATTCTTCCTTGAGTTCAGAATTCTCCTTCACATAGCCTGTCTCTATACTCAGTTTCTTCTCCATTTTGGGGGGTGAAACTGTGGAGAAGTGGTGAGATATATTTATATATATATATATATATATATATATATATATGTGTGTGTGTGTGTGTGTGTGTATGTATTTTTTGACATGACACAGCTTTCTTTTTCAAAATATTTTTTTTTATTTCACATCCTTATATATAAAACATTTTATTGCATATACCAATTGCACATAGTAGTGTATTACATAAAACTATTTTCATACAGGTAGAGTGAACATATTCTGCTCCCACCTGATATCCCCTAGTCTCTCCTCTATTCCTCTCCCATTAGACATTTTTGGTTTCTTTGGACAGTTTTCATGTATTTTCAGGTCATCCATAGGTACTTAATTTTAGATACCTATGGAAAATCTAGGAACTACAAATGAAAGAAAACATGATATTTCTCTTTCTGAGGCTGACTTGATTTGCTTAATATTGTTATCTCTAGTTGCATCCATTTTCTTCTTTATGACTGAAAATTTCCCATCATGCTTTGAGCTGAGAGTGGTGGCACATGTCTTTAATCCCAGCACTCAGCAGTCAGAAGCAGGTGGAGCTCTGTGAGTTTGAAACCAGCCTGGTCTATATAGTGAGCTCCAGTCAGTGAGACACTGATTCAAATGCCTATATGTGTTTATGTGTGTATATATGTATGCATATATTAAAGAAAAATTCCATATATACCACATTTGCTTTAATTATTCCTCTGTTGTTAGACACCTAGGTGGGTCCCATAACTGATATATGCTGCACTAATAATAAAAACCAAAAGACAAATATTGGGGTTAAAGCTGAAGGTCAGAAAGCCAAAGCAGCCAAGTCACCAGAGAGTACTTGCCTCTAACAAAGCTGGGGTGATCCTGTCCTCCAGGTGGCTGAAGACTAATTATCAAGTCCGAGACCCCGCTTCTGTCTTATATACCTCTCTAGTGCTGGGATTAAAGTTGCTCACTACCACCACCCAGCTTCTATTGGTAACTAGTATGGCTGCTAGGATTAGACATATACCACCATTGCCTGACCTCTATGGCTGTGCCTAGCTTTGCATTCTGATATCCAGGCAAGCTTTATTAGATTATAAATAACACATCACCACAGATCTGTTGTGTCATTCATCTTTATTTCTTAACCCTGGGGATGGAGTGGGTCAGTGAGCCAAACCATGCGGAGGGCAGAGTTTAAAGATGGCTGCTCTACTGAAATACCTGGTTAACTCATTTTCCAATAGATCTCCCCTTATCCTAAGCTGGAGTTCTGATGCCTCCTCATCTGCAACTTCTCTTCATAGCTGACGTTTTCTTACCGTTGCCTTTAGAGCACATTTCTCCAATTTGAATAGCTATGAACCACTACAGGAGAGCGAAGGAGTTAAGTGAGGGCTGTAGAATTAGACTCCTCCCACTGGCTGTGCAACACTGGCTGTCCTGATGACAGGAGAAGACCCATTTTTGTTGTTGTTGGTTTGGTTTTGTTTGGTTTGGTTTGGTTTGGTTTGGTTTGGTTTGGTTTTTGGTTTTTCAAGACAGGGTTTCTCTGTGGCTTTGGAGGCTGTCCTGGCATTCGCTCTTGTAGACCAAGCTGGTCTCGAACTCACAGAGATCTGCCTGCCTTTGCCTCCTGAGTGCTAGGATCAAAGGCGTGCGCCACCATCACCCGTCGAGAAGACCCATGTTGATTATGTTTGATTCACATGTACACAGGATTTTTCCAATAGAAGAATCTTGTATTTCTTCTAGAATGTGTTGAATCCATTGTCAATATGCATATGAATTAGAATGTGCCACATGGAGAGATTAGTGCTAGACTAGGTATTCAAGCCCCATTCAAGGGAGTGCTTATTTGCACATCTTTGCAACCCCCCCCCCCCCAACTGAGCTATTTATTCCTCAGCACTAGAGAAATGTCCTGGGGTGAATGAATGCACAAACAGCTTTTTTTTTTTTCTATTCTGAGCATTTGCAAACTTACTTGCCTCATTTCTCCCATATTCTCTAGCCAATAGCAACCTAAGAAAGCAAGTTACACCTAAACCTGAAGACCAGAAAGACTGGCAAACCACAGAAATGCAGAAATCAACACAGTCTGTGCACCAAGGGAACCTTCCAGGTAAGATGTGCATCTCGACAACCATCCTCTAGCTGGCTCCTGGGAGCTGACCTTTGGCCAAATGGAAAGGATGAGCCAAATGAGGCAGACAGGTGCAACTCTTCCTTTGATCAGAACACCATGCAAATAACAACATCACCCAATGTTAGCGTACTCATTGTTTAGCATTTCAAACCACTCTTTCTGAAGGAAACATAGACTATGGCTGGGGAGCATAAGAATTCAAATGAAGATTCAATTCAGTTAAAAGGCATGTGTTGCAAATAATTGTCATCTAGGCATGTGCCCACAGGAGTAACAAATTAAATAAACAATGGTGCCTCAGGAATTCCTCCTATTTTCTCTTGAGTGTAAGACAATGAACTTTGAGCAAAATCATTGATAACAATTTGCTTCTTACAGAACAGGGTTACAAAATGATAGCCACAGACAATTATTTACTAGTTAATGAGGTGTGGATGAGTGGGCACTGTGTCTGCCCACACCTTTCCCAAATGAAATAATAATAAATTAAGCCACGATGTCAGGAAGAGAGTCTGGGATTTGCAGAGACCTGTTGGTCATATGAAGACCCATAGTCTTATGACAAAGTTATAACCTTACAAAGAACTTTATTATATCATGTATAATCTCATATGAACCCCATAACTGAGTGAATCAACTGAGATACAGGGAAGTTAAACAATTTAGTTAAAGTCACATCATAGGGTGAAAGTAAGACCTCTAGTTGCTTAAATTAGATGAGAGATCTTTCTACTGAGGGATTATTTTTAACTACTCACAGCATCCAATATTCTGGTGGGGAAAGAAAGGCCAATCAAGAAGCATTATTGCAATGTGATGTTTTTGAAAAGTTTCTGCACCCCAATAAGCCTCTCTGCCAAAGCAGTAACCCAAATCAGACCACCAAATCAAACCGAATTAGGAAAAGTCCACAATTAATGGATATAACAGTCCCAGAGGGCCTTCCAGACCCCCAGAGAGGAGACAGGAAAGAGAGACTGGAAAACCACAAGTCTGTTTTCTGGGGGACAGTTTAAATACCCTGTGGGAGTGGTCTTGAACATCTCTGGGGGAGGGGTCATCATTTGTTGGCTTTCTGAGACGCCCAGGGTTTAGAGAGAGATAGGGGAGGGGGCTTAAACAGTGTTTCCAAATACATGTGATGTTTGCTCTACTTTCCTGCTAACTGGTGCAAACCTTTACAGTTGTTGAAAGTAAATGTTTGTTCTTACTCAAGAGACTGAAAGACCCCCCAGCGGCTCAGGCCCCCAGGATCTCGGCCCAGGACTGCAGGGACCCCAATCACCATGTGGAGGGGAAAGCTTGATGCAAACAGCAAAAGGTTTTATTGCAGTTGTTTAACGAGCTAACCCCATGTTAGCTCGGGCCTTTCATCTATCCATCATGGCAGATGACTGGGAAAAGGCCCCGAGTAACCATGGGACAAAGATCTAATAGGGCAGCGTAAGGGGAGTGTCTAGGGGTACACACAGGCTCAGACTTGGTGTGCCTCCAGGCTTGGAGGACTGGCCCTGTGTTGATTGGTCAACTAATTGTTATGGCCCATAGGCCCTCCCAGGGTGATGTGCTCTGCACATCATTGCTGTGAACTTGCCGTAAAGCACATCCAGACCGTAAAGCATAGTACCACCAGCTAACTTCTGATTGGTTCCTTGCCACCAGTCAGGCATCTGACCTCCTAGTGAGCAAGGCAAGGTCAGGCAAGCCCGTGTTAGGCTGTTATGGCTGCCGAAATGGGGAGCTGGTCCCTTCAAGACAATCAGCTGAACCAGGCATGGTTGTACATGTCTGTTATCCTGACATTTGGGGAGCAGAAGCAGGAGGATCAGAAGTTCAAAGCCAACCTGAACTGTATAATGCCCTCCTCATGCACACACACACACACACACACACACACACACACACACACA